ACTTCAATCCCTTCCCCAGGAGGCATTTGACACCGTCATGTCAACATGACAACAATGATAATCGGGTCTGTCTTCTTTTAGGGGACCCCCGCAGAATGGTTGTTTGTTGTTCTCCTTTGAAACCACGAAAAAGGTACCCCTAAAAAGATACACCCATACTTCCAGTGACTCGTGCCCTCAGGCTGCACCGCTACGTCCCGCGCGGGCGGGCGCTTCTTGGCGTCGTCCAGCTCCTTAAAAGAGCTCCGGATTCATATAGATGGTATCCACGAAACCAGTCCAGCTATCCACAATGCTTGTCTCCCTGGCAACTATACTCTGACCTCATGATGTTAGCTATATGCCAGGGAAATTTGCAAATATCTTTAATACGTTGCCACGCAAATGGTTGTGCCGGTATCAGCTAAATTGGCAAGAGCTTCAAAAAAAGGATCTCACGCTTGGCCAATGCCCATCTGTCTATCTTTGACCGGACCTCTTGCTCTTGTCCCAGGAAAAAACAAGTGCCTCCAACTCCTCCAATTCCGGGAAGTTCTCTTGCAAGGCCTGCGGAAGCCCCCAGTCACGTGATTGACGCAAGCCCCCAGTCGCGAGCGTCAAAATGGGGGAGGAGAACCCAAAATATTCTTGTTGGGTTCCCTTGCAAACCCCAAAAAAAGTATTAAAAAAAGACATACCCCATGTTATTGGCGTGGCCTTGACAGTTGGTTTGTTCTGGGTCCAAGCTGAAACCAAGCTGTAAAGGGGTTCCTCAAAAAATCGCACACCCATGAGGGACTGACTTCACTCGGGCACCAGAGTCTTCGGGTTTACTCGCCCGACACATGCCCGGATTGCCAAACGCCCTGTTCTCAACAATGGTACACGGGATGAAAGTAGACTCACTTTCTCATTTAGTTCTTTGGGACCCAAAAACAAGGTGGTTACCTTTAAAGACGTCCAAAAGTTGGTTGCCAAGGGGAAGCCAAAAGGTCGTTTCAGGTTGATTTGATGGGGGCTTGTGTGAGCTGTACTTGACAGGGGAGTTATGCCAGTCCTACTTTCATCCTAAGGTTTCCAACCACTGATTCCGAGAAAGGGAACTCGTGGGAAGCGACCCGTTCAAAACGCGTGTTCAAACAGCTCTGTGAATTTTGATGGGGGACCGCCTGTGATTGTACATGAATTCCCACCGAATTTTGATGTCCAAAGGGTCTCCAAATAAAAATCATTCCCAAACACGTTTACGTTGGCCCCGGATAAATACACCCACGTTTATTCATAGGGGGGATGTCCCTGGGTTTAGTGGGGAATAATGATTCTGCAAAAAAAATGTAAACAGGTGTTGATTCATCTGGGCCTGCGGTTTGCGCTGGCCTGGGCGGCTTTCTTGACCTCTCGCCCATTTGGCACCACCAGGGTCTTCCGTAACGGCAGGGCGCTCCGCCCGGCCTCCAAGGAAGGAACACCGACTTGAAAAGGAGCGGATCCGGAGCTACGGCTTTTTGTTGGGGGGGTACCCTTGTTTGGCTGGTTTTGCAAAATCCTCCAGCTTTTGCTGAGGTCCCTGCCAATTTTGAAACAAACCACTCTGCAGTTCAATCTGCAACAGACTCATTTTGCTTTTGGCGTCCTGTTAAAACCACCCAAATGGGGTTTCGCACCCCCAAATGGCCCACCCATATTAGCGTAAACTTCAAGCGACCCTGACATCATTGAGATGGGCTATGTCCAAACCCTTTGCAGGTGGTTTCCTATTGAAACTCATATCTGCCAAAAGCAAAACTCAAGGAGGCTCATTTCGAAATGGGCGCAGCCGTTCGGCGGGGTTTGGAAACTTGCAGTCTGCGGTCAGCTGTGAAGCACGAAGCAAAGAAGCCTACTTGGGGATGCTGAAAAATGCTTAGACCAAAACAATAACTAAGTTGAAAAGCTCTCAAGCCTGTTGCAAAGCATTGACTGTGGATTGACTAAATCCTGCACCGCCTAAGAAACTCTGGTTTCTGATGATTCCCCTGTAAACACCAACAAACGATGGTTTCAACCACGGTTTCAAAGTAGTGCGAAATGGATTTCGCAACCCTTTTCAGTAGGTGCGGGTTGGAGCAGTACTAACCAATCTCCAAATTTTACAATAATTCAAAAACAAGTAGAACGAATCCGGGTCTCTGAGCACTGAGTTCGCGACCTTTAGGGAGTTTGGGGGTGGCCAAAAAAAAGAAGCACAGCAACACCATTTGTGTGTGTGTCGGATCCCAAAGCAAAGGATCTTTGCCATGGCTTCTCTCGTTTTACGAGCTCGCCATTAAAACTTAAAAGCAGAAGCCCTGTCCAAGTTTTCAGTGGCCTTCGCTGAACCTGGAGATTTCCCCCCCCGCCATGCCACTCCCCGGCGAGAGGTAAGACAAAAATCAACAGGCAGGCAGAACTTCAGAGACATGAACAGGGATACCTTTGCAAAGGCAAGACAAAACAGGTGTTTGATTGGGGTAAGACGTCCAAAAGGGGGTGAATCCATTGAGTTTGAGGCTCAACGCTCCAACTGAAAAGAAGTTAACCAGTTGAAGAGCTCAATGTTGTTGGACAAACCCAAGCGCCAAAATGTCATGATCACTTGGGAAAGCCAAAAAGAAAACCACCTGTTTGAGGGGGCCCTCGATTCAATAGTCTTTACAGGCGCTTCCTGACTTCTTTACGATACATGGGTAAATGTGGGTTCGGGCGCCGAGCTCTCAAATTCAATCACAAAAACTACAACCAGGTGAACAGGACCTACTAACTGGTGAACGGTGTTGCTTGCCTGTGAACGTCTAGTGTAGCAGTTCAAGCTTCGTCTTGCAGTCTCACTTTTACATTTACTGCACACAAACATCCAATCTTAAGAGGCAAAAGCAGGCATGCTGCACGTGGTGACGTGGCTGTTCACGACGTCCCGATCAGGGTAGGCCTTCTGTAACCATCAAATGAAGACACAACCGTGACAACCATGGCACAATCCTTGAGCGTGCAGACATGCTGAAGTGGAGACTCGCCCGACTCGCCTGCAGAGTGTATGCGCACTCGTCCACAGTGGTCGCCCCCTGGCCCAGTCTGCAACACTGGCCACCAGTACAGCTTGATGCCGTATCTATTGCCCAGCGCTGGACAAACTGACTTGCTTTTGCACGAGGACGAAAGTTGAGGTCGGCTCCTGGTTGTGGATAGTTTGAGAAATGTGGGAGGGCCTAGACCAACAAGAGACTCACAGTTTGGTCACTTCAAGCTTGAAGTCTTGCGTTTCTTAGCACAGAACGAGCCCTAGGAGTGGAGATAGCTCCAGTGCAGCGTGTAACGATACTTGAGACACGCGGGTATGCCCGAAACTGTACTGCAGGTACTCAAGGAAGCCATTCGTTCAGCCGACTCGCCTCGTTCAACACGCCACTGATCTTGTCGGCCGCTTTTCGCAGAGAGCCCGGCGTTTTCGCCTCAGGCCACTTGCAAGATCTGCCATGTGGCCGGAAAAGTGTATAGTGCTTTCAGGTCAAGTAGGAAAAACGTTCTTTCCCTTGGTACCCGTATCACAAGCCAAACAAGCTTGAACAAAGCCCCCAAGTTGGCCCCGCTCGTATTCCGAACCCATCCGCGCACGTCAAGTCTCCGGGCCGAAAAGGGCAAGAGCTGGAAGCCCAACGGCCTTGCACTGCACCGGCTGATCTATCCTCCCACCCTTTTCACATAGAATCTGATATGGACATCCCTGTAGAAAGAACAATTGGTCCAAGTCAAGACCGATTCCCCGAACGTCAGGGTCCATGTTAATTGGGATGGGTGTTTGATCCTATGTGTAGTGGTTGATCAATGGCCTCGTCCCGCTTTTTTTTCCGCCTTTTTTTCTTATTACTTTTAGTTGTTTGTTTTGTTTTAGTACTATTTTATTCTTTTTGTGGGGGGGGTGAAAGGAACACTAAAAGGAAACCCCCCTTCTTGATGAGCCCCCAAAACAAGACACCCCAATGGTGATAATGGTGGTTCATTGATTCGACTGATCGCATCAGGTGTATTTCTGATGGGTTAACATTGAAGGCCGGCAGCGAGCTCACGTCGTGGCCATGCAAGGCAAACATTTGGAAGGGGCGCCCGTTACTCTGTTTCTATGTTTTCCATTTGGGGACCCGGGTGAGAGAAAACGCAGTGCTTCTTCTGGCCGACTGCCGGCGAACCTGACATTAAGCAGTACTTGGACCCCATTTTACGCTTCAAAATCCTTCTCAAAAGCCCTAAGTGTCCGGTGAGCCTGGTAGACAAAGAATCGGACACAATCATTGGCCAGTTTTACCAGTACCCCACAAGAACTTGTGAACAGCCGCATGACCACCACCCGGATTTCCAGAGCAGGAAGCCAACGGGACACCAGGGATCATGGACCCTTGCATCTGGCTCTTGTGGGTGTGGGTCAAAATTAAACCACCAGGAATCGGACCGCCTGTTTTAGTCATGGGTTCCATTTACCAGGGCAAGCCATTTTGGGATGTTTCGCCCACAGCCTTGTTATAACGAAACCTCTGCGCGGCCCGCTTCTTGGCAGTGCTGGCGATGGCGACGAAGGCAGACGACACCTGTCCGGGAAAGCAGGCACAAGCGGGGCATCCTTGTTCTCCCCTATAAATATCACCCCACCTAGAGACTCTCTTTAAATTGGTCCAAGTGATGTTTAAGACGACTCAAGGACATATAATGACATGTATATACTGTATACAGGCCTCCCTGTGCTTCAGCAGGCGACTAGCAGAAACCAACCTGCCCAATGCTGCCTTTCGTAGCATCCAAGAACTTTCCTATGACACCCTGACATTCCTGCATGGACTATTTCGGGATACATTGCCTTTGCTATTTCTACTTTCTTTTCGCGTGTCGAGTGTAGAACAAAATCCGGAAAGCACTGGGCGCACCTCCTCCACGATGGTGTGAGCATTAGTTCCGCCGATGCCGAAGGAGCTTACACCTAGCGACTGGGCGGTGACCCCATTCTTTTGAATGACAACATGTTGAAAGGGTCATGGAGACTCCAGGCAGTTGATTTCCCTTAGAACCAAAAAGGGTGACCAAGAGAAAACACGCACGCATACTGTTTTGCCCAAGTGGAAGCACCGAAACTGACGTGTCACCGATGCAAGTCATGACCCAGCCTGCACGCATTGGAACGCGTGTCTTTGTCGTCCATGGGCATACCTCCATTCCACACCCTTGCAGCATTCTCACAGCAGGAATCATTCTGCGGCATGCTTCACTGCGCAACATACGGCTTAAGATGAAGGACCCAAAGACCGCAGAATTGGTTGCTTTGAGCCACAGCCAGTGGGCACTTCAGAGTTAACAAAGAAGGGCGTGTCTTTCAGGTTGATCTTCGGGTTCAACTCCTTGAAGTTTGCAGTTGGCGCCTCAGCAAAAGCCACGCACAAGAATCGCCGACCTTCGTTCAGATTCAGGATCTGGATATGATTTGCAGTCACAGATTGGATAAATTCCTCCTCATCCAAACACCAGGGTTGACCCTGCGAAGTGCGCGCCATACTTCGGCCCCTGCCATGCTTTTGGCCTTCATCATCATGAGCGCCTGGAAAATTCAATCGAAATCGCGCGAAGATGAGAACGTCTTCGGCTGTAAGGGCGCTGGCACCAATTTTTCTTGTTAACCCCAAAGGTGGACTTAAACCTAGGCGGGTTTAAGTTGGCCAATCGAGATGGGAAGCCTGGTTGGCATACTCTTTTATGATTGTCTTAGGCAGTTGCTTCGATTATCCTTGTCAGGTGAATACCCGAATCCACAAACTGCCCAAACAAATACCCATCAACCTGCAGAAACCACAGGGTCTGTGTTGCTCATGTGAGTCATAATCAAAAGCTGTCTATAAAATGGTCTATCCAAAGCAATGGAAAGAACCAGAAGAACTACCGCGACTGTAATTCTTGTTCCGACTGTCCCTCATTAACCTTCACCTTGGGTGATCATGGTTCATACACATAACACAGACATTGCACCCGTGCTGACCCTGACATCTGGACCCTTGAAGGGGGCTGGTGGGGCACAGGGGGGCGGTCCTTGCTGCTGCTTGTCTATTGCTGCGCAATCATATCTATCATTTTCGCTTATTTGGCCGCGCGAATGCATTCTGTCTGAAATAAATTTGTATGGCTCGTGTTGACTAACAGCACCACTTCACTACTCTCTGCATGTCATGCGCTTTATAAAGGATTCCCGCCTTTCAAAGTCCCACCTTCTGTTTGCCTTTTCAGGCCTACATGGATTTGAGGTGGCCTTGGCTTGTGACATCCACTTCATAGGTGTCCATTTGGGGAAATAGATGGCCCTGGTGGATTATGAAGCCAGGTCAACCAAGACAACCAAACAGACCAAACAGGACACCTACTACTGTGGATGACCACTTTGAAACCATGGTTTGTTGGTATTTACAGGGGAATCGAATCATTCCAGGGATGCCTACATGGTCCAGGATTTTTTGTCGGAGTACACAAGCTGCTGCGTGGGTCAATTTTGTTTTCGTGCTTTGCGCAGGGTCGGGGAGTTGGAACAAGCAACAATTTGGCCGACAAAGTCTGCCCAAGTCCTCTTACAATCATCATGCCCATGTTGCGAGTGCATAGGACCATTAAACTCAAGGAGCACGCCCGACTTGCCAGCACGTATCCTATGGAACATGCAGCGATCCCTAGGATTCGAACCCCACTCGGTGATGCAGAAACTGAGATGTGTTTTTATTGCCTTTGCGTATAAGTCACCTCTTTCCATGATTTATAGATTGAGCCGTGGGCCGTAGGTCCTGCGGTGAACTTGGCATGTCGAATTGCTCCCAAAGGGCATGGGAAAATATGCTAGCTTTGTGTTTGTGCGTCCCTGAAGCGTAGAGCTCTTCCGCCTTTAAAACCTTCCGGGATACCAAGCCTGAAAACAAGACGAGCCACCCTATAAAGCTTACAACCATAAGACCAGGTAGTGTGGATGGAAGGAATCCTGCGCCACTTTGAAACCATGGTTGAAACCATTGTTTGTTGGTATTTACAGGGGAATCGAATCATTCCAGAGTTTCTTAGGAGACCAGGACCGGCACCCCCCAAAAAGCTGCTTTCTCCCACGTCCAAAATCCCAAGTGCGGTAACCAAAAAGCCGTTGTTGGGGGTGCTGGTAGGAACCGAACCAACTGAAACGGACTCGCTCGACACTTCTCGCCTTGATGAGGCCAGTGGCTCCGGCCGCACAGTTGGCGTGGGCAATGTTCCCCTTCACCGAGCCCAGCCTGCGAGCGGCTCGTTGGCTCGGGGCGTTGGGTCCGCCATTTTATTGGAAAACCGCAAGGACCACCAATCTTGCAGTATTCACTGCCAGCGAATGTCCAACCAGTCTCCCACAACGAATCTTGGCAAAGCAAATCCAAAACCCGGGAAACGTGACATGTTGTGTGATTCAAGTACCTGGCTACAACCCCGCGCTTTGCAAAACAGAACGCGTGGAGAACGCATTCGCAGGCAGTTTCTTGGTCGAAAGGGAAGAGGATAAACATGCAAATCGACTAGCCCGGTGAATACGACATGGGCGCAGGTTGTTTTTGTATCAACCGTTTCAGTGACTCGGCCCTTGCAATTGGCCCGTCAAAACGGCTAGAATCTGACTTTAGAAAGCAAGCACCTGCGTTCAGGGCACACTGTAAATTCTCCGTGATGGTTTTGGCATGCTCCCAACCATTGAATCCCATCTTTCCAGCACTATGTATTTCGAAACAATGCATCTGCATTCGATTTCGAACATGTAACACATTAGGTTGCCATATCAGCTTCCTGGGCCCCTGGCGCAATGCTCGTGTCATTTCCAGCCTCAGCCGAAGGTGCAAAACTCCGGTTTCAAATCTGAGGGCATGCCATGGTCCCATGGAAAAGAAAACCAACAGGTGGCTGCTCTTAAACCGTGGTTTAAACCGTGGAAACTCAACGAGCATCGCCCTGCCTTTCTTCCGCCCAAGGTTTCGAAGGAGGTGACCAAGCCGTGCATCTGAACGCGCGGCTTTTGTCGAGCGCTACAAGTTGCACGGACGAATCGGCAGGAAACATACATCTGCTCAGTGCATAAAATGTGTCTACCCCCCAAGCTCCCAGAGAACAGAAGCCTGCAGAAGCCTGCGAATGTTGCACCACTTGTGATTTCCTGAATTGAGCTTCAAATTGTCCGATCCTCGATGCCGTCGCCGATGCGGGTGCCAGTGCAGTGGCACTCCACGTAAGAAATGGACCAGGGGTCCTAGGTGAGGAAGATGCCCGAGCCGAGTGCGATGGTTTCTACAGGCCCAGCACCCCTGAACAGCTTCTTTTTGGCTACCGTGCTTGGGATTTCAGACATGGGCAAAAGCAGTTGGGGGGTGCTGGTAGGTGTCCTGTTGGAACAAATGATGGCACTGGTGTTTAAATGAATAGAACAAAACTGCAACCAGTGCTCGACTTGACCAAAGGGCCACATATGCGCACTACAATCATCCCGAGAACTGTGTCTTTGTGGAGAATAGTTCGAGTTGCTGTTCTTCAGATTGGGGCGGAATTTCCCCATGCAATTCTATTTTGCTAGTCGGTCCACAAAAGGGAAATGGACATACAAGTGTAATCGGTGAGGGAAATGGACATACAAGTGGAAACCGTTTGAGTGGGCATATCTTCAACAAACGGACAAGAAAGTAGGCAGAAAAGCCAAGCGCGCGCCGAATCAGCATGTATGCTTTCAGGGGACCCTACAGAGGTTCTAACCAACGGGCTCCGATCGCTTGCACCAAAGGCAGTTATCCAGGTGTGTAGCATCCCATTTCGGAACCTATTGTGGATGGGCGAAATCCTGCACGACTTCGAAACCATGGCAAACCATTTGATTGTTCGTATTTACAAGGGACTCATCAATCCAGGGTTTCTTGGGTGGTGCAGGATTTCGTCCATTCACAGCAGTTGATAGAACCCATTCAACAGGTCACCCATTTGCGCATGCATCTCCTCGTTCGTCATGCGCATGGCCGCTTGCACGGCTTTTGCTTGACCTTTGCACGCGGCAGAGGCTGGCTTCAGCATTCATCGAAAATATAGAAAATGACGCATGCCACAATTCGAGTTTGATGATACCAATCATGGTAGAAAGGAAACTGCCCATTGTGTTTGAGAACCCCCCCCCCATGTGCCCACCCTCATACTAAAACGGCCGTCCAGCTGCCGAAACTGATCAGTCAATACAAGTCAACCAAGCAGTGTGCAAGATAAGAAAGCACAAACCAGCCGAATCTCATCCTTAGGTGCATGAAGGTGTCCTCGCTTCGTTGGCTGGGCTGTTCCAAATGGAGGGTTGGCCAATTCGATTGTCCATCATCCCAGGGAAGCTTGAACAGCCCCGCTTGCTGGTTCAGCTTGGGTCCCGGCCATTCGAGGACGGTGCCGCGTAGCCCGCCTGGAGCCGCGCGTGCGAGGCGCATGCGAGTTGAGTCACTGACTTCCACTAAAAGATGGTGTGTGTTTGTGCGTCTGCGTCTTTTGCGAGAGATTGTTTGACGGAAAACTGGCAGGAAACCAGCCATTTTAGGGGCTCTCTTTTTTGAGACAAACCTCAATACAAGCGAAGCCCGCACTTAGACTATACTGGATGTGTGGCATTTGAGACATGAACACCGAATTCCGAAACATGCAGCCGGCCTTCTGGCCGCCATCATTGCTGACAGCCTTGGACATGTGTAGATCTTTGCTGATGCAGTCCACCCTGCTCTTGGCACATGATTGCGTGGACTTAAGCTATCTGTGGGCGAAAAGGAGATTTGAGCATGGGCGCGTGTGATGGTCTTTGCTCATCTCTTCCTCGGCCTTCAGTAAAACACGCATGTCCAATGGTGAACCCACCTCCGCTTGTGTCCACCCCGAAACATCTTGTCGATTCCAACGTTTGGTGAACGCCTTTTGAATCAGAAAAGAGATCCCAGCAAGTGTATTGAGCCCACAGCGAAACCCTTCAGGCTTGCATAGGCAAGGCCCGTGTCCGGAATGTCCTCGCTGAAGCAAGCTGGCAACTACGAGCGTTTCAAGCTCGCAAAAGCCCCCTAGATGGAGTCTTTTAAACACATCATCATTACGATTATCCTTTTCATTTGTCTCCATTGCAGGGGGAATGCTCACTCACAGAAAAGTTGATTATAGTCTGAGACCATCTCTTTTTTGCCATGCCATTTTTGGGGAGTCTCGCTTTTGCATGACCCTTTTCGGGTGACTTTAAAGGGACACATCAAAGGAACACCGTGGATGGTCGGTCTACGAGACACGCGGCTCCTCCTGGCGCCTTAAGACCAGCGCCCCCACGGAGTCCCCGAAGACGGTGCCGTCCGCTTTCGCGTCGAAGGGACGCACCTGCGCAGCAAGAAACCACCTGCCATTTGGGGTTTGATGATTGAAACACGAGTCATACTGTCATACTCAGAACCCGGTATTCAAATGGTCTACCCAGCACCATGCAAAGAATTAAGAAGGCGGCCGCAGCTATTTATGGTTGGGAGCATCCCTTGCTAACCTTCAGCTACCTGGGTTTTGATTGAACACAGGCGAAACCTGGCAATCGGGATTGAAACAGCAAATGGTGCTTCCTCTTTGGAGGGTACCCCTTTTTGGTTGGTAAAGGTAAACTCAAATGAAACATCAACTAGATCTTTGGTCTTGCACAGCCATTCTGTTAGGGGAAGAAAGGTCGCGAGTGACGGGACGAAGGAACCCGGACCCAAAGATTGGCAACGCAAAATGCAAAATGCAAAATGCCGGTGCAAACGCACGAGTGGCCCCAGGGAAACCTCTTTGGAACAGCGATTAGTGCGCCCAAAAAGGACACAAAACCGGACGTCGGCATCTCATTGTAGATGCTAGTTGTGTGGGGCAAAAGTGTTGGACTCAGCCTGACCCCGGCACAAACAGATTGGGTGACGTGGAATGAGTTCTAACGAAGGGGAGTTCCTTTCGACTGCACACACTATGACAATGGCTGGAACCAGTTTACTAGAGCGACTAGAGCCCGTTTACTTGCTGGTTCTCAGCGAATGAGTTGGAATCCCTACAAACCATCCTGGCTAGGGACTCCTCTTCTGGTTCATTTGGACTGTGGACTTCTATTGAACCAGCGAGGTTGTGCGCTGAGGAACGGACATAACCGTCCACTGAGCTCACCAAGCCGTCAGCATAGAGATACCTAGGTGAGTTGCTTGGTGTCTTTTTCGGTGTTCAAAGGGCCAAGGCCGACGGGTCGCCACACTTGCTGAGGCGATTACCCGAGGTTCGGAAAGGTGATGGAGGATGCCCCAGCAATCGCAGCATCCTGACGCACGAGTGGGAGCCCTCTGCAGACATTGTAGGGTTCAGCCAATCCCTTGCATCATGTGGAGGTTCTCAAAATAGAGATTGTCCTACAATAGCAGCGGTTTCTTTCTGGTCCGAAAGGGAGCTTTTCCAGCAATTTGAGAATCATGCTTTAACCGCCAGTTTTGAAACAAACTCCATTCAGTTTCGCTTTCAAGGGGCCCAAGTGAGTCTGGTTGGTCGGTCACGCACACTCGCGACCTTGCGTCCAATTCTGAGTAACCCCGCACATTGCCCTGCAGCGATGGCGTGGGCGGCTTGCACAACTGCCACCAGTGCAGAGGAGCAGGCCGAGTTCACCTGACGGCTCTCGAATTTAACCCAAAACCTGATAAATCGCAAACCAACAGGTGAACCACGGATAGAAAAAAACAAAAACGGGAACCTTGGCCGGCGCTTGGCCCCGGAACAAGCAGTCCGGTCGATCCGAGGCGCATTCATCGAAGGACCTGAGAAGTCCATGAGGTAAGAGACCCGCGTGGCAATGTAGTCCTGAAGCCACAGATTTTTGTTGGAGAAACCTCCGCCATGACTCACTGAGTGCCCAACAAGGGAAAACCAAAAGATGTCAAAAGGTCGGCTTTGAACAACGATGATGTTCAAAATATCACCGTGATGGCGATGGCTCTTCAGCGCCTTCTCATTGCCAATCTCAGTCAAGAAAATGTCTTGCGGGTTCAGCGTGTCCTCGCCAACTTGCGGCTGGAGCAGTTGCAAGCGGTATTCCAATTGCCTTGACGTGGCCAGTCTTGGGTGCAAGGGAACGCAAATCCTGATTTCCTGCATCACAGGGTTGTTGGTGGGTTCCCTTTTGGTGTCCCTTTAACACCAACAAAACGCGGCGTCCTCCCAAAAAGAAGCGAACCAGCTCAGCTACTTCAGACGTCTTTGGCTTTGTTTTCGCCAAACCCTTGTAAGAAATCATCATCATGCCAGGTGTTCTTAGGTGGCGCAGGATCTCGGCCATCCACAGTAGTCTTGATTGGCCACCCATCAAACTGGAATCAGCATAGTAATTAAAACATCTTCGAACTGAATGATTAAAAACAACTTCTCGAAGGCATTTTGCCTTGATCCACAAGCCCAAGTTGATGCGGGTAAGTTTAAACATTCATTGCTATCGTGGACTTACATGAAAATGTAAGTGTCAAACTAGGTCTCAACCTAACTTCTCGCTCAAGAAGCTTGGCCTTCCATGGAGCCCCTAGATCAACGCAGTTCCGCTGGATGGCGCAAGTAGCCGAAGTGGATTCACAGGCATCAAATGGCACCAGAGTCAAACCGAAATCACCACTGGAACGAGGATGCAACGAGAGAAATGTCGTCCTTCAAGGATTGGCCATCAAGGTGGTGAACCAGGTAACCTGGCCGATGCTCCAGGTTCCAGGTAAATTGGCCAGGGTCAAAGTGCTGGCAAAGCACAGGAAACCAGGAAAACCTGCAAACATGTGGACACTTCCAAAGGAACCCGGCCGATTTCACCTGCATACCCTCCCGAAGACTAACATGGAAGCTCCCAGGATTCCTTTAGAAGACTCGGCTCCATGTGCAGAGGCCTTCTGGGAGCTTCCATCTTAGTCTGAGGGAGTGTACCAAGAACTTGCGGCACCGCCTCTAAGCCACAAATTTCAGCCCCCCCACCATCAATGCCCGCGGCGGCGAAGACCCCGACAGTCTTGTCTGAGAGGTAGCTGCTCTTCGGCCTTCCAATGGGAACACATGAGCGCCCAAGGCCCATTGACAGCTACGAACACTGTAAAAAGGATGGTCTAGATTGGCCTTACTACTTATCTCTCTTAAACCAGGTAGTAGAACCTCCTACGGCCAATGGGGGTGTTGGGGCCCCGCCCCCTATGTGGTTTCCTTCTGGTCCCGTAGTCCGTGCCAACCTTGGCCACCTCTTTGCCCTTGGAATGGCTCTCAGTGCCATCCCGAAGGCTTGCAACCGGAGCCAAACTCGCTACCTTTCGGTGGCAACCGCAACCACTGGAAGGCTCAGAGCCCCACTGGGCTCTGAGCCCTGCACTATTGGCAGGTGTGCCCGTGATAGGGTTTCATCCATTCCAACTAGTGCAGGATTTGATCTGGGGTCTCTTGGGGTCTATTGGGCCCTCTTGCTTAGTTGTTTAAACTGGTTTTTGGGATGGGGAGAACCATACTCAATCTTGTACTCTTCCATTTGCTTGAGCCACCTGGAAAACAAATCCAGTAGTGATAGACTTCATTTAAAGCCAACAAGGACAAATAAAACATATTCTTAAGAGAATGGAAGTACTTGTAATTCGCAAAAAAAAGGCCTTCGGCTTTCTCAACTTCTCACTCTGAGTGCAGCTCGGCAGCGCGGCGTTGTCCATGGCAGCCCAAGCTTCCTGGATGAAAACTCGATGCCTCGGCCGACATCAAAGCAAGCAACTGTGCACAATAGTCTCCATTGCTAACGGGCCAGTTCCTCTTTTTTGAACATACCCTTTTGGTTGGTAAGGGAAACCAAAGGAATACCACCATCTTTGGGTGTCCCCCGAAAAAGACACACCCACATAGCCTTTCAATACTCCCTATTGCTCACATGTGCCATGGACAACAGTCCGCTTCTTTGGCCTGTGGTCATGGCAGATCCTTGCTACCAGGTGGATGACCATCCCTTTTAACCCCAAATAAAGGAGTCGGCTGACCATTGCTCACATGGGTGTGTCTCCTTCTGCGAGTGCCCTTGGTCTTCTTTTGAACCGAATTCTCAAGCAAACCAGCCATTTTGCGGGGTCCAGTTCGCGACAATCCTAGGTCCCCGCTGTGGATCCATCATCGAGGCCTGGTCACTTGCCGATCAGCTTGGCTCATGCGTGCGCAGTTGTTTTTTTGGTCCGCCTCGTGCCGGCCGATGCCGAAGAAGACATTGTCGAACTTGTCAGCATCATTGATCATGTAGATTGCAGGCCTCCACCCAATCTATCAAACGACGTACTCACGTCTCACGTCCCTCAGGCCGTTGCACAAAGTCCTTGTGCCCGATGGTTGTCTCTGGAACTCCCTTACCTTGGCAAAGACAGGTGCGACCAGAGAACGGAAAAGCTTTGCCCACCTAGGCGTAAAGCTCTCCAGTGGATCCTTTTTGGACATTCAAACTGGGCTTCATGTCCACCCCTCCGCCATGTGCTTTTTCGCCCCCTGGGAAAAAATACGTGACAACAGGTCCAGTGGTGAAATCAGCTCCCTTTAAAACCAACAGGGCAAAATGAACCACATATTCCTTTCAGCAAATGGAAGCTCACTGGATTGGTAAACCAACTCAACTAAGCATCTGGCCCCGCAGGAAGTCCTTTGAGAGGAACGTGGCGGACACCGTGGCCCTCGCGCTTCAGAGACATGCGTCACAAAGGGAACTCATCAAATTCGTGGCCCAAAAAACGGTGATATAGCTGAAAAGGGACATCCCCCCCCGCCTATTTCCACTTAAGACATCACCCCTGAGGGAGACTCACATCAAACGGGCCCAACAGGTGATGCTTCAAACCATGGACCTGCTTGGCTGGGCCTGACAATGTTGTCCCAGAAGTGCTCCACCGAGTCAGCGCCTAGCAGAATTCAAGGGTGTGTGCGTTGGGTGTGTGTGTGTGTGTCTGTGTGTGTGTGTCTCTGTGTGTGTGTCTCTGTGTGTGTGTGTGTCTGTGTGTGTGTGTGTGTGTCTGTGTGTGTGTGTGTGTGTCTGTGTGTGTGTGTCTGTGTGTGTGTGTGTGTCTGTGTGTGTGTGGCTGTGTGTGTGTATATCTGTGTGTGTGCCTGTGTGTGTGTGTGTGTCTCTGTGCGTGTCTGTGTGTGTCTTTGTGTTTCTGTGTGTGTGTGTGTGTGTGTGTCTGTGAGTGTGTCTGTGTGTGTGTGTGTCTGTGTGTGTGTGTCTGTGTGTGTGTGGCTGTGTGTGTGTGTGTGTCTGTGTGTGTGTGTGCCTGTGTGTGTCTCTGTGCGTGTCTGTGTGTGTTGAGTGTGTCTGTGTGTGTGTGTGTGTGTCTGTGTGTGTCTGTGTGTGTCTGTGTGTGTCTGTGTGTGCCTGTCTGTGTCTGTGTGTGTGTGTGTGTGTGTTTGTCTGTGTGCGTCTGTGTGTGTGTGTCTGCATGTGTCTGTGTGTGTCTGTGTGTGTGTGTTTGTCTGTGTGCGTCTGTGTGTGTCTGCATGTGTCTGTGTGTGTCTGTGTGTATGCCTGTGTGTCTGTGTGTCTGTGTGTCTGTGTGTCTCTCTGTCTGTCTGTCTCTGCCTGTCTGTCTGTCTGTGTCTATGTCTGTGTCTCTGTGTCTCTGTGTCTCTGTGTCTCTGTGTCTGTGCGTCTGTGCGTCTGTGTGTCTGTGTGTCTGTGTGTCTGTGTGTCTGTGTGTCTGTGCGTCTGTGTCTGTGTGTTTTTGGAGTTCCCCTATTTTAAGACACCCCCAAGGACAAGGGTGTGGCTCAAACTCGGGGAATTCGAAACCTGAGTGATCAAACATCTAAGTATGGATCAAAATCAGAGAACTCTGAGCTTACCATGCAGGGGTTAAACCAATTCTTTCACACACACCACGTGGTGAGTGGCCGGACGAGCCTGGGAACCTCCCAGATATGCCCGCCACGGCCAACTTTGGTGCCTGCCAAAGCGAGGTCAAGACTCCGATTTTCGGCCATGGGTCTCCTACTAGAAATCTTAGAATTGTCTGACTTCCGATCGCTGCTGTGTTGGCCAAAACAAATCCAAAGCAGTCACAAAGTGGGTGGCTTGGCCTTAAAAAGTTTCCCAAACTTTGGGTTTGCCACTGAAATGGCGACCAAACCCAAGTGACTCAAGTCCGAAAGGGAACTCAGGGAGTGAGCAGGGCCGATGAATAGCCATCCGGACCACAAACACAAACAAGCCATGGCATGCAACATGGCGGCACCTCGCGAAGAGCGTCCACCGGTCCTAAGCCGTGAGGGGCTTAGAGAGCACGAAACCCCCACTTTCCCACAACCATGAAGCTTGAAGAAACACACACGTACGGGACGGGGCATGGGCGTATGGACCGTGTTGGCGACAACAAGGCTGTTCCTGCGTGCAGCAGGTCCCTCGCCCCCCACCCCAAGGGTTCTGATACAACATTCTGATTAGAGTGGTACTGATGGGCCAGATTCTTCTGGATAGAGGTCCCCAACTCTTCTCCCTAACATCAGGGCTAAGATCGGCTTCCGGTTAAGAAGGCAAACAAAACACACCCCAAAAGCAAGCAATATTCAAGGAACAGAGTAGGTCTCGTGAAGATGTCAACAAGTAGCTACATTGCATAACACGCTTGAAATAAAGCGCCTACCGTAAGGATTGCGTGACGGGCTACATCTTAAAACAGCTGGAAATGGAAATTGTCTTAAAGAGAACCCTCCCCCAAAAGGGTACCGAGCCACAAAAACATTCCGATTTCTGTGAGCTGGGATGGGATTCCAGCTCAGAATTTCATGATGGCACCTGTTGGCGGTTTCCCCACTTCGGATTGATGTTTCTGCCCTCCGTGTATGTGTGTCAAAGTGGTTTTCGTTTGGTCGCCCTTCAAGTTCCAACTCTCAAAAATCATCCCATGAGCTGGGTCTGTCTTACGATAGGGATTTGGACCCTGAAAGTGATGTGGGTGTCCAAGTAGTGTCCCTTTAACCCAACCCAACTACGGGCAACGAGGCTCGCTCAAAACGGGCGCCGCGCCCAGCGCTGGTTGCCCTAAAACCTCCCTGGCCTCCCTCCAGACCAACCTTGGACTCAACAAAGTCGCACAGCGCCTGCGATGGGTTGGTTGGTTTGGCAGGGTTGGGTGGGTTGTTCAGTTGGGTGGGTTGGCTTGGGTTAGTTGTTGGGTTGGGTGAGTTGTTGGGTTGTTGGGTTGGGTTGGGTTGGCTGGTGGGTTGGGTTGGGTGGGTTGTTCAGTTGGGTTGGTTGGGTTGGGTGAGTTGTTGGGTTGTTGGGTTGGGTTGGGTTGGGTTGTTGGGTTGTTGGGTTGGTAGTTGGGTTGGGTTGGGTTGGGTGGGTTGTTCAGTTGGGTTGGTTGGGTTGGGTGAGTTGTTGGGTTGTTGGGTTGGGTTGGGTTGGGTTGGCTGGTGGGTTGGGTTGGTAGTTGGGTTGGGTTGGGTTGGGTGGGTTGTTCAGTTGGGTTGGTTGGGTTGGGTGGGTTGTTCTGTTGGGTTGGTTGGGTTGGGTGGGTTGTTCAGTTGGGTGAGTTGTTGGGTTGTTGGGTTGGGTTGGGTTGGCTGGTGGGTTGGGTTGGGTTGGGTTGGGTTGGTTGTTAAGTTGGGTGGGTTGTTCAGTTGGGTTGGTTGGGTTGGGTTAGTTGTTGGGTTGGGTGAGTTGTTGGGTTGTTGGGTTGGGTTGGGTTGGCTGGTGGGTTGGGTTGGTAGTTGGGTTGGGTTGGGTTGGGTGGGTTGTTCAGTTGGGTTGGTTGGGTTGGGTTAGTTGTTGGGTTGGGTGAGTTGTTGGGTTGTTGGGTTGGGTTGGGTTGGCTGGTGGGTTGGGTTCGTAGTTGGGTTGGGTTGGGTTGGGTGGGTTGTTCAGTTGGGTTGGTTGGGTTAGGTGGGTTGTTCAGTTGGGTTGGTTGGGTTGGGTTAGTTGTTGGGTTGGGTGAGTTGTTGGGTTGTTGGGTTGGGTTGGGTTGGCTGGTGGGTTGGGTTGGTAGTTGGGTTGGGTTGGGTTGGGTGGGTTGTTCAGTTGGGTTGGTTGGGTTGGGTTAGTTGTTGGGTTGGGTGAGTTGTTGGGTTGTTGGGTTGGGTTGGGTTGGGTTGGCTGGTGGGTTGGGTTGGTAGTTGGGTTGGGTTGGGTTGGGTGGGTTGTTCAGTTGGGTTGGTTGGGTTGGGTTAGTTGTTGGGTTGGGTGAGTTGTTGGGTTGTTGGGTTGGGTTGGGTTGGTGGTGGGTTGGGTTGGTTGGGTTGGTAGTTGGGTTGGGTTGGGTTGGGTGGGTTGTTCAGTTGGGTTGGTTGGGTTGGCTTAGTTGTTGGGTTGGGTGAGTTGTTGGGTTGTTGGGTTGGGTTGGGTTGGCTGGTGGGTTGGGTTGGTAGTTGGGTTGGTAGTTGGGTTGGTAGTTGGGTTGGTTGGGTTGGGTGGGTTGTTCAGTTGGGTGAGTTGTTGGGTTGTTGGGTTGGGTTGGATTGGCTGGTGGGTTGGGTTGGTAGTTGGGTTGGGTTGGGTTGGGTGGGTTGTTCAGTTGGGTTGGTTGGGTTGGGTTAGTTATTGGGTTGGGTAAGTTGTTGGGTTGTTGGGTTGGGTTGGGTTGGCTGGTGGGTTGGGTTGGCTGGTGGGTTGGGTTGGTAGTTGGGTTGGGTTGGGTTGGGTGGGTTGTTCAGTTGGGTTGGTTGGGTTGGGTGCGTTGTTCAGTTGGGTTGGTTGGGTTGGGTGGGTTGTTCAGTTGGGTGGTTGGGTCAGTTGTTGGGTTGTTGGGTTGGGTTCGGTTGGCTGGTAGTTGGGTTGGGTTGGGTTGGGTGGGTTGTTCAGTTGGGTTGGTTGGGTTGGGCGGGTTGTTCAGTTGGGTTGGTTGGGTTAGGTGGGTTGTTCAGTTGGGTTGGTTGGGTGAGTTGTTGGGTTGTTGGGTTGGGTTGGGTTGGCTGGTGGGTTGGGTGGGTTGTTCAGTTGGGTTGGTTGGGTTGGGTGGGTTGTTCAGTTGGGTTGGTTGGGTTGGGTGGGTTGTTCAGTTGGGTTGGTTGGGTCAGTTGTTGGGTTGTTGGGTCGGGTTGGGTTGGCTGGTGGGTTGGGTTGGTAGTTGGGTTGGTAGTTGGGTTAGTTGTTGGGTTGGGTGAGTTGTTGGGTTGTTGGGTTGGGTTGGGTTGGCTGGTGGGTTGGGTTGGTAGTTGGGTTGGGTTGGGTTGGTTGGGTTGGTCAGTTGGGTTGGTTGGGTTGGGTGGGTTGTTCAGTTGGGTTGGTTGGGTTGGGTGGGTTGTTCAGTTGGGTTGGTTGGGTCAGTTGTTGGGTTGTTGGGTCGGGTTGGGTTGGCTGGTGGGTTGGGTTGGTAGTTGGGTTGGTAGTTGGGTTAGTTGGGTTGGGTTGGGTTGGGTTGGGTTGTTCAGTTGGGTTGGTTGGGTTGGGTGGGTTGTTCAGTTGGGTTGGTTGGGTTGGGTGGGTTGTTCAGTTGGGTGAGTTGTTGGGTTGTTGGGTTGGGTTGGGTTGGCTGGTGGGTTGGGTTGGTTGTTGGGTTGGTAGTTGGGTTGGGTTGGGTTGGGTTGGGTTGGGTTGGTTGTTAAGTTGGGTGGGTTGTTCAGTTGGGTTGGTTGGGTTGGGTTAGTTGTTGGGTTGGGTGAGTTGTTGGGTTGTTGGGTTGGGTTGGGTGGTGGGTTGGGTTGGGTTGGTAGTTGGGTTGGTTGGGTTGGGTTGGGTTGGGTTGGGTGGGTTGTTCAGTTGGGGTTGGGTTGTGTGGGTTGTTCAGTTGGGTTGGTTGGGTCAGTTGTTGGGTTGTTGGGTTGGGTTGGGTTGGCTGGTGGGTTGGGTTGGTAGTTGGGTTGGTAGTTGGGTTGGGTTGGGTTGGGTGGGTTGTTCAGTTGGGTTGGTTGGGTTGGGTTAGTTGTTGCGTTGGGTTGGGTTGGCTGGTGGGTTGGGTTGGTAGTTGGGTTGGTAGTTGGGTTGGTAGTTGGGTTGGGTTGGGTTGGGTGGGTTG